TGCAAGTCTGCACAGTTCTGATCCTTATATGGCCTTGTGATCCTTATTTATGTCTCTTCTCTCAGACAAACCTACAGAAGCTGATGAGCTCATCAGAGGAGTCCTGCCGAAATCTGGCCTTTAGCCTGGCTTTGCGCTCCATTCAGAACAACCCCAGGTGAGGACCGTGGGCACTCAGGATATTGTGAGTCACTGAGGGGCACTGGCTGCCCACTGTGCGTGGCTGCTGATGGTGAACTGGGCTGCACTGATGCTGAGATGTTTTATTTCTAGCATAGCTGCAGACTTCCTTCCTACCTTCATGTACTGCCTTGGCAGCCGAGACTTTGAGGTGGTGCAGACAGCATTGAGGAACCTGCCTGAGTACACCCTCCTTTGCCAAGGTAAGTCAGGATCTGCTGCTCTGGGGTGCGTGCTTGGTGGCCTTGCAAAAGTCAAAACTGAGCTCCTGTTATGAAAGCAGCCTCCTCGGGAAGTTGCTAGGAGTCAGAGTTGCTCAGAATAGTCTGTCAAACATGTTGGTCATCTGTATCAATAGCTGTTTTGGTCTGAGCATCACAGAGAGAAGACTTGCCATAGAGATGAGGGAGGTTTCCTTGAAACAGATTTGCTCCTTTATGATCTTCCTCTCTGAGTTGTGATCCCTCACGCAATCCCAAACCCTCAGGGCCATTACAGGGTGAATTATGCCCTGTTCAGTCATAACAGAAGGAGGAACGTCTTGCACGGCCACAAGCATTCATCCAGGTGCTCACTGGCAGATTGCTGCTCTCAGGCCGCTCCTCACGCTGTGTTTCTCTTTCGCAGAGCACGCTGCAGTGTTACTGCACAGGGCCTTCCTGGTGGGGATGTACAGCCAGATCGACACCAGCTCTCAAATCTCGGAAGCCTTGAAGGTCCTGCACATGGAGGCCACAGTCTGAACACGTGGCTCTGGGAGCCTCGCTTTCAGTGGAATTGAACTGGACCCCCAACAGCTGCATTGAGGCCCTGTAAGAAGGCGCTGTACTTCAACCAATGTTCTGAAGGATCAAAGAGATGATGTCACAGGCCACAGCAAGAGCAGGAAGGGGCAAGGACAGATCTGTCTGGCTAAGTTGCCATTACTGTGGGGAAAAAAATCTCCTGAATATTGTGCCAAACAGGGACCAGTTTTGTCATGGAGTCTTAGGGCAGTGGCTGACACTTATTTTGTGTTGTTTTTTTGTGGGTTTTTTTCTCCTCCAAGAGGGCAGAGCTGCTGGGAGAGCAGAAGGAAGTTTTGGCCCTTTCAGTTGAAGTCTCTGCACTTTATGCTGGAAAAAAAATGTGGATGTGTGCAGGGGGAGAGACCATTTAATGTTTTGGTGGGGTTTTTTTTGGGAGGGGGGGGAAAGGGGTTGGTGGGTGAAGTCATTCTTTTTTCCTCCAATTAAAATTCTTTGTTTCCATTGTGCCTTTTTGTGCTGCCATTGGTGTAGCCTGACAACCTTCTCACCCTGTTCTTCATTGTCTTGTTATTCTAGATACAGCTTCTCTGAAAAACCTGTTTGTGTGGCCAAATGTATGCAGAGCCCTGCAGTGTCTGATGCACAGACTCAGATGTGAACGACCCAAATCATTTATTACAAGTTCTCACATCCCTTATATACCTTCACAAATTTTCTGTTTCTAGCTTTCCCATCCTCTTTGGTATCTGCCAGTTTCTCCCTGTGATTCTTCTCCTAGTCCTTGTCTGCTGATCGATGTGGTTGTTTACTGCCAGCTGTCATGGGAGAACAGAAAAGGTGGTGGCTTCCATCCCTCTGCTATGGAGAATTCACTGCCCATTTCATAGTCTCACTCTATTCACTGGCTTGCTTTCACATCACTTGTCTCTTTCCCTCTTGTGAGAGACAGTTGTAACCTCGTGGGGGGCAAGATGAAGAAGTATTGTCCGTTCTTGCAAACAAGAAATGCTATGACTGAATGCTTATGCTCTATGAATTGCTTGCTTTGCAGAGAATTGGAGGAGAAAAGGGAGAGAGATGAACTTCCCAACCACTGTTAAGTAGCCTCGCCTTGCCTTTAAATAGATTAGAGCTATTGCTTAAGGATGCAACATGCTTTCTTCCTCAGCAGCATCTGCTTCGTATCCAGAGCCACTACTGTGGCAATTAGTTAGATATAAATTATGTGGAGGAACAGCTGAAGAAGATCAAGTCAGTGAAATGGTTTTCCTGAGGGGCTCAATGACAGCAGGATTAACGCCTGTCTAAAGGGTTCCCAGTGAGATTACTGGCTCCTCTCGCTGTAGTCTCTTATCAGGCATCATTAAAACACTGCTCAGTTTGTCAGAGCAGGGAAGTATTTCTCTTGGTGCTGCTGTGTGCCCAGAGCCTCTGGGAACTTATGGGACTGGCTGGGAAAGGGCTTTTCACAGGACTTTGAACTAAGGAGAAATGAAAATGTAACAGCACTGTTATCACAGCAAAGACAGAATCAAAGTAGTGGTTCTTTGCTGAAGAGCCTCCCTTTGGATGGGGCTTTCCAAAAATCCTGCTCCAGGGCTTTTACTACAAACATGTATGGGTAAAAAGGAATGGTGTGGCTGGCCTCAAATTCTATGATGTCTGCCTGGAGGCCAAGTTTAGAGGAGAAGAGAACACTCGGATGGTGACAGAACTGTTTAACCACCCCTTGCTGCAGGGTAGCTAGGCTTTGCAGAGCAGTGGGGAATAAGGTGTGCTGGGGAAGGTGGAAACAGCATCTTTATTATCAAGAGCTCGTCTCTTTTGGGAGATCAGGAAACGAATTCAAAAGTTTGTAAGAAGGTAGAAGCTGTGCCGTAGAGCAAGGTATTTCTACTAATCTCCCAATAGAAAAAGCATCATCTGTGATTTGTTTCCCTGCCTGTTTTCTGCTAAATTGAAAGTTCCTGCTATGCATTTGCTCTGTTATCATCCTCCGCTTGAATGCAGTGGAGCTGAGCAGGCTGCCGTGGCTTGAAGCATGCCACTGAAACCAGATCATGGCTGAGAGGAGAGGGGGCAGCTCGGGGCAGGAGTGCTGTGGGAGCCCATCCTTAGCAGCTGTGACAGCTGTGAGATGGTTAGCAACAGCATTACAGATGCTCTGACACTTGCCCGCCTTTTAATCAGCACTCTGTAACTTTCATCTCTGCCTGGCTGAGCACCTTCTCCCTTCCCATCCCTGTTGAGCTGACAGTGTTATCCTTAGCAGGTCTGCTGGGCTCCTCCTGGGGGCTGGGGCCATGTTCTGCATCTTTCAGAGACGTTGACTCACTCAGAAGAGGAGTGAGGAGGAGGTTTGCAGCACTGCTCCTATCTGAGCCCAGGGAAGCTCACAAGGCTCACCCAGTGGAAATTGCTGCTGCTGTCTGGCTGTCAGAGGACATGCCTCAAAGTGGCAAGATCATTTGGATGCTCCTTTGCCACATGATGCTGCAGTTGAAAGCTTCCTAGGCGAGTTGTGGTCTGCCAGGGATGGTGTCTGGTGCATCCACCTGGAGCAAGCCTACTCCCAAGCCAGTGCTGGTGTCCTAGAATATCCTGAGAATCCCATCCAGCTCTAGGGAAAGGAAACGCTCTCTGCAGGCTTGTTCTTCATCCTGTGGCTGCACCATACTGTGCTGGCAGCCGCTCTTCTTGTCTGAGTGCCTGCTGTATGGAGATGGTAGAGGACAGGAGCAAAGGAGGGGCTGCAGATCCCTTCCACTAAGCACAGGTAGACAAGGACAGGGGAGGAACGCCATCAGTATGTTTTATAATGATTCTTCCAGCACAGCTTCCAAGTGGGGCTGTTTCCAAGCCCTCCACTGCCCAGAGTGGGGGTTCAGGGCTGGCTTGTTCCTTCTCCTGTAGAGCTGAACCTACCATGGCTCTTACTCTTAGCTCTCCTGGACCTGGGAGGCTTTCGGTTTGTCTTTGAGGTGCTTCTCTGAAAGAGGATGTCTGCTGCAGCAATAGCAGACAACTTTCATAGGGAAAAGGGTGGGCACTCCCTAGGTTTCAGCCTATGCAGTCTTGGAGACCTGGAAGGGTGCAGTCGCTGTTGCATTTTCTGCTTGGACAACAACTGCCAATGTAAATACATCAGTAGATGTGAGGTGGAACCGTATCTGGGAAGGTCTTTGAAGAAGATCTGATGCCTGAGTTGAAGAAATGGACTGCTATGGAAAAAGGCATCTGCTATTTGGGAGAGTTAGCCATGGTGGAAATGTTATATGAGCCCACATTCATATCTAATGATCCATACCAAGAGCACAATCCTGAGCAAGTCAGGCGTACATCATGTATGCCATGGAAATTCACAAGAACAGCACTGGAAAAGTACACCAGAACACTAGCAGGAATGTATGAGAGGGAGCAGAGAAGATCCCTATTCTTTGAACTGATTATTACACTTCATAACTTTGGACTGGGAGTCACAAGACTTCCTCTTTTTTTCCCCTCTGGGAAGGGGATGGAGGTGGTGCCTCTCATCTCAAGTCCTTGCACTCACCCAGCATGAAGCCTCACCACATGTATGTACTCCTGTCAGATAGCAGAAACGAGCAGCCATCCAGGTGGTGGCTGGCAGGAATTTATCGAGACTGATCTGGATGGAGTCTGAAGTGGCAATAGCATGGTCCCATGCATGCTGGTGCTGCAGGGCAGGGGCAGCGGTGCTGGTTTGGCTGAGAGCAGGCTGGGACTAACGGGACTAACAGGGGAGTTGCCTGCCTGACTCAGTGGCAGCTGCCCCTGGGGAATGGATTACAATGGGGAACTGGAAGAGACCCAGCACTGACCTCAGAGGCAAATCTGCCTGACCTGCTCCTGGCAACAGAAAGGCAGGGAGAGGCAGAGGCTCTCCAGGTAACTGCTAGCAAACAGGCTTTCATGGACAGAGGCATCAATGTTTTTTTTGCCAGCCTTTAAAATTAAAGGAAGGAAAGAGAGACTTTGCTCTGCAAGCAGCAGCATGCAAGAAGCTTTGTGCAAAAAAAGAGAGAGGAAAAGTCCATCTCCATTACGTACTGTGTACGGGTAAATGTGGGCTGAGGAGTCTATGACTGCTCCCTGGTGCCTCGCCATCTTCAGCCAATTCCATCTGTGACCTCAGTTGGTGACAGCTACAGTTCTGGCCCTGTCTGATCTCAATTAACTTCCCTCTGGCCATGCTGCAGTTCAAAACAGCATGATTCACACTTAAGTCAAGGAGTTATTCACTAAAAGGTAAAAATGTTAAGACTTTCGTTAGCTTTGTGTATGCCAAGGCCAGCCCCACACCAGCTAAGCAGCCTGGATTCTATAGAGGTAGCATTTGCCTAAGGTGGATTGATGTTTAAACCTCTGCTTTGCCTTACCATGCATTTAAATAACACCACCCAAAAGCAGCAGAAAATAGAGTTTGTATTTTCTCCTCCTTTTAAATTCAAGAGATCTTAATAATAACATCTCTGCTTGTCCTGTGTAGCTGGTGTTGTCTTGCCTTTCGCCTTGCCCTGTTTGCGTGAACAGCATCTCTATCTGAGGAAGATATTGGACAAAAGAATGTCAAGACCCCCAGCAACAATTAAAAAAATCATTAAGCTACAATAGGCCAGTCATTATCATTACTGGGTAATTATTAAGCTGTAAGAATTGCTAATTGTCTTATTAGCATTGAACAGTTATGCAAATAACAGAAAACATACCATAAAAGTAATAAAATTACCTCTTTTTTTTTTGTTTTTAATCAATAATGAGATTTAAAAACTAAGGCAATGCTTGCAGATTTGCCCTCTCCGGAGTTTATTGGGGATGTCATTGGAGAGAAGTGAGACCACTCGTGGCACTCTGCACAGAGTGAGTACAACATTTGAACCAAGTCTACAGCCACAGCACCAGGCTGTGTCCCCTGCTCTGCACCCACACAGGCAGCCAGGGACCCACAGGGGCCGAGGGCACGTGGTGATCTCAGAGCTAGAGCAGGGCTGGATAGAAAGTCTGAATTTTGCATTCCTACAGCATGTCTGGCTTTGTGCAACCCCTTGTCCCTCAGATAAAATGTGGGGCTTCAGGTCTGGTCTGGGTGCAAGCAAGGCAGATGGTAGCCTTTCATACCAATCTAAGGCAAAAGTGGAAAGTCTTGGCCTTTAAAATTATTTTATTTCAAGGGTTTTATCCCCAGCTGGAAACCTGAAGTAAGAGCTGGCCTCTCTTCCTGGTAAGGAACCAGATGGATTTCAGAGTTCAGCTCTAAGCAGAATGCTGAAAACGTGACTTTGTTTTCCAGTGGAACAAGTATAAAGCTTTATTTGCTCACGCCATCGTGAAATGGAGGCTTCATTTACTTGTGTCTGCAAGGAGCTTGAAAGAGGCAAAGGGCTTCTTTGCTAAGAGTGATTAACACTGTTAATCACTAACAAACATTACCGTGTTTCCGGGCTTTAAATTCTGCTCCGCTGATAAAACACAGCATTTCAAAGCTGCCAAGCCAGCTCCTGCTCCAGGGCGGGCCCTGCTCCCATGGTGATGCCATGACAGATATGGTTCACCTCACACAATCTTAGGATCCAAGGAGGTTTTGATCACCTTTACTTTCACTTTCCGATAAGAGCAGTGAAGTTTGTGGCTCTTGGAGAATTGCATTTTGTCATGGCTGTGTGAGGGTCACAGATCACCAGCAGCCATTTCAGCTTTCTCTGAAGAGGAGGGAAGGTCAGCTTCTGACCAGCACCATCCCTGTTTGTCTGTGCCCTGCTTTCAGTTCCCTGAGCTTCACTGGTGCCCTACAAAGCAGTTGTTATCTCTCTCCATTTTTCCTTCTCACCTGGTGGGAAGGATGCAGCAGGTGGGTAGTTTGGGGTAGTTTCCTATCCTTGCTGCTTGGCAATGACTTTCTGAGATGGATTTTTTGCCTGTCTCTCACCTTTCCATGCTGGGGACAAGAAAGCCAACAGGCCAGCTTGACAGTAATGGATAATAAGAGAAAGACTTGGTGGTGGACTTCTTTTTAGTCAGGCATTGTGTTTCACCTGGGTGGCAGGCCACACTTTGCCCTGATGCTTTGTTTTTGATGTTTTGAGGATGTGGGATAATGGCTATACCATTCACAAGTTTCTCAGTGGCATATGTTGCAGAGAGACTTACCAAAGTGCCCTTCTCTGCAACTTCACGTTTCACTTGCATCTTCTTTCAGTGGAAATTCGTGCTCAGACTTGAATTTTTTTAATAATTTTCTTTTCCTGAAGGTCAAGCTAGCCAGGCTCCACGGAGAGGCAGTATCATGCAGAAGCATTTCTGTGTTAGTAGCTGTGAAATTGTAGAAGCTTCCTTTCCTTTGGTTTGGGCCTCTCTGTCTCTGTGGAGTCAGCCTGGCTGCCTTCTGGGAAGAGAGAGCTGATGAGGCATGTTACTGATGAGACGTGTGCTTTTTCCTTCTTGTTTTGAATCCCTCAATTTAATGTAAGCCATTGGCAAGGGAACGTATGAGAGCTCCTGGCTCCAGCACGTACTTCCTATTGTTGAGAGTGAACAGCCCTGTGTACAGCCTGCAGCAAAATTATGAAGTACTCAATTTGATCTACTGATTTCCCACAATAGTTAAAAGATGTGCTTTTTCAGCCCATGACGTTGTGTGCTCTTATGAAAAGTGTTGGTTGAGGCCCCATGCTGCCTGATACGAGGAATCAACCCTTTCCTTCTTCCTCGAGTCCTCAAAGTAACAAATGTTGGCTTGTTTTTCATTGGGCTTTAGGGTTGTTCTTGTCATATATTAAGCTCCTTCTCTACTAATGGTAAAACCCACGATACTGCGTATGGGAGCCAGGATAAATAAGAGGTGGTATCAGAGAGTGATCCCCACTAGTCATAACAACTGTCAAAAAGCACTCAGCATTTCTCTGCTGTAGCCCAGTATCTAGGAAGGGAGCTGAAAAGGAGTGAGAGGGAAGGAAAAAATGTCTGAAAATACAAAACAATAAATCCTCCTTATCCGTGGCCTATTGTGCTCCAAAAGCATCTGAACACATCTTGGGAGGCATGAAGGCAAGGCGCACAAAATGGGGATAAGGGCACGTAAGGCACCTCCAAGGAAAACGCGTAAAAGGGAAGAACGCAAACCAGAGTAAACATTTGTGAGCTTCATTCCACAAGGAATGTCCTGTGAGATCAGCAGTTGTTGGTAATGGGTAAGCAGCTGTAAGACAGTTCTGCTCCCATCCTCCCCAGTTCCTCTCTCTAGTGGTCGTTAGTTTACCTGTTGGTACATTAAAGACTCATCATAGCTATAAACTCCTGCAGAGCTCTCCTTAATCACCAACTAAGAACACTGCACAAGTCGCTGATGCCTGTGTTTTGAAAAGCCATTATTGGGGCAGTGGTACTATTAGTGCTTTAGCTAACTTGTTCAGCAATGTCACTTTAATCACCTTAGCATAACCTGCTTCTTTTGGTAGAGCAAGGGCTCTGTCTCCAGCCTAGCTCTCTTGGGATGCGCAGCCTGAAGCCAATGGCTAACAGACTCTTCTTTTGGCGTCTGCAAGCCTGGATGCCTTTCTGATAGGTTTGCCTCGGTCAGACACAGATGACCAGGCTCAGTATGGGGAGGAGTAGGTGACATGTAGTGTCCTGTGACATACAGAAAATAGCAGCTGCTCTCATAGTCCAGCCTGGCTTTCCACTCTGTGGATCGGTGTCCCCTGCCACCCAGCCCCAGCTGCCCCTTCCCAAAGTGCGAGGTAATGAGAAGGCACTGACCACATCGACTCATTAAGCTGGGTTTGTTAGAAGACAGATTGTCATGTTAAACAAATATATTTAAAAAAAAAAAAACAGATATCATTCCCTGTGCTGTGCCCCATCTGGGCCATTAAATCTGAAAGGGGCAACTACAGCTGTGTCAAAGCTAGGCTCAGAAGCTGATTTCCACCACTGATTGGCAACAACTCCATTTCCAAACATCAATTTTGTCTCCTCATTTCCCAGTGCTGCTCTATTTAGGTTGCAAGCACAGCAGGGGGATGCATACTGCTAAACAAAACAGTATTTGGGACTTCAAACAAGAGAAACCCCACAAATGGATTTCCTGAACCCATCACCTCCTTTTTATTTCTCACAAGGCCCCTTGGCTAAGTGACCTGATGACAGAGGATAGGAAGGACCCATCTGCCCATCGTTAGCCAGCTTGCTTTTCATGAAATTTCATCAATCTAATGAAAAGGTGGTTTGGAAACAAACCAGGACAGCTCAGCTTTCAGTGTTCCAGCACAGTAGTTTCCAACCTGCAAGAAAGCAAGCCTCTTTTTTTTGAGGGGGAAGAAAAAGAAACTATTTTGAGTGAACCCAGCTTTTCTTTAGGTTGGCCCCTTGGTAGTCTGATTAATTTTGAGTGCAGATGTTTGTCCCATCCTTCCCAGATTATACGCAGTACTTGAGAGCAGGCTTACTGTGCCGTATGTCCTACTTGCCTCACTGCTCTGATATTGTTGCAGTTGTGTGGCAACATATGCTAAGGCCTTATTACAAGGGATTCCTATAAATGGCATAAAGGATTAATAATGTATTTATAACACAACTTTGTTTTAGTATAAAGTGATCTATAAATTTGTAATAAATGTTTTATAATGTTTTTGTAGCCTGTTATAAATGATAAATGGGAGACTATAGATGCCACATCAAATATTCATGCTGCATTGTGTGCATTATTATGCCGTTACTGTTCAGGAAACCATTAATAATAAAGTGAATGGAGATGTAAAAGTTGCTGACATGCCCAGCAAGCCATTTATAATGAAATGTATAATCCTTACCATAAAGTAAATACATTGGCCAGTGATTGTTGATGAAATGGAAACACACTGAATTATTTGTAAGGTATTTATATATTAATGTATATTATCCATATCATGTCATAGAAATACCATTAATATATTATATTATATGTATTATTAATTATTTTTACCTGATTTATAGGCAGCTCCTAAAGCGTTCCCTCGTCTCTTCCGCAGCCATGTGCGACTCTATGTGGTGAGTTACTATTTGGACGTGGCTGATGACATAAATTCACCGCGGCGCTTCTTTCCCCAGCTGTGCCACCTGGGCAGGCTCGTTTCTGGCTCCTCCCCGAGCTGCCCCACTCCTGCCTCCCCACAGCCTCAATTGGGCCACACCGAGGTCACCACGGGCTTTCCTGCTGTGTTCTGATCTTTCAATGCTGTGAGCTGGAAGGGAAACGAACCCTCGCGTCCCCCCGCACTGAGCAGGGAGCACAGCTCCACCAGGGCTCGCGTCCCCTCAGCTGGGCTGCGCGCAGGGACGGGGCTCGGCTCTGTATGACCTGCGCCACAGCCTCACCGCTCTTAGTGCAACAAACGCTTTCCTTATATCCCTCTACACCTGCCCTTTTTAGTTCCTATGGCCGGGGTGCTGCTGGGCTCTGCCGAGGCAGCCGCAGCGCCCGCTATGTCCGCGCACTGATTTCACACAGCGGGGATCCCGGCTCCCCGCGCCCATCCGGCCGCGTTCTCCACACGCGGCGCCCGACGCGAGAGCAGCGCTCCGTGCGTGACGGAGCTGCCCTCGTCCCTCTGCCCCGCACGGCGGCTGAGGCGGGGCCGGCTGAGGGCGGCCGTGAGGAACCGCCGCCTCCCGCCCCTTTCCCCGCCTTCTCCTCCTCCTCCTCCCGCCGTCCACCACACGCCCGCGGCTCCCGCAGGCGGCACGGCCCGGGGTCTGCGCCATGGCCGCCATCCAGAACCTGCAGCTGTGGTGCAAGCAGCAGTGCGAGGGCTACCGCGATGTCAGCATCACCAACATGACCACGTCGTTCCGCGACGGGCTGGCCTTCTGCGCCATCCTGCACCGCCACCGCCCCGACCTCATGTGAGTACCGGCACCGCAGGGCGCAGCCCGTCCCGTCCCCTCAGCCCACGCTGCCCTCCGCCGCTCCGTTAGCACCGGCGCTGTGACTCTATGAGCAGCGAGCCGCTTTTCCTCCCTCCTTCCTTCCTTCCTTCCTTCCTTCCTTCCTTCCTTCCCTCCTCCTGCAGGGAGCCGCGGCTGTACGATAAACCTTTTAAAAACGTCCTTTCTGTTGCACGACGTCTTCAGGCATCGCTTTGGGGTTTCCCTCTTCGCTGTGTGTTTGTTGAGTCCTGGCGAAGCGGGCACACGGCCCGGCGCTGCGTCCTGCCGTTTTCCCAGCCGCGGTTCTGGCCGTGGGAGGCGAAGCGCTGCCAGCCTTTGCTGCTTCCTTTACTGTCGTCCCGTGGTTTTTGACCTGCCTCTGCTCGAAACGTAACGGCTGGGTTAGAGAACTGTTAAAGGAAATTGGAAAATGACTAGGAAGCATCCTAGTTTTTGTCGTTTTTGTTTTTAATCTCATTGCACTTTGGGGTGGGGGATTGAGGAGGGAGCAGGCAACCGAGCAGCACAGCCCAGGTGTGTTGGTTTAAGCATTAGGTCATTCCCAGCGAGACGTGGCTGACTGGGGTGTGTGTTCTGTACTGGAGTTTTCCAGTTGTTTCTTGAATTCCGCCTTCCCTTGTTCTCTCAGTGCAGCCTGACACCTCTCTATGTGCAGAGATCTTTTATTGCTGTCTTACTGCTGGTGGAAGCCCGAGGAGAAGCTGTTTGTCGCTCACTCCTCTCTATAGCTTTGAAACTTGGAAGGGGCCAGAGCAGCCTTGAGAACAGCAGGCTGCAGGAACTTCTGCATGCCTGCTCTGCCTTTCCTTTCCTGCCCATGCCTGGGCTGTCACCATGGTGTTGCTGCGTGTGGCTTCCTGACGTGCTGTCACATCCACGTGGCTCCAAATATTTCCCTTCCTTCCATTCATTCACAGTCCCAAAGGTATGAAGTATCAGAGCAGAAAGGCTGATATGATGGGAGGTGCTCACAGAAGGCCTGGGGCCGCTTCCTGGCCAGCCCTGCTGCCAGCCCATCCAGAGTGTGGGTGTGAGCAGGGCCCAGCAGCTGGGGAACTGGGATCGTCAAGCTGACCCCCTTTAGCAGGTTGTTACAGTCCTAGAAGCACGCTGAGGGTTGTAGATAGATGTATCTAAAGTAAATGTTTCTGTGTTGGAGAGCAGAAAGGATCCCTGCAGCATCTCTGATCCTGCTGAACTCCTCTCATGCTGGAAATCCTGAAGGACTTTGCAGAAACCCTTTTTGACTTTGGCCAGCTCTGCAAGGCTGCCTGGGGGTGAAAGTAAGAGAAGCTTTTGGTACGACTTCCCTCCTCAGTGTCAGTGGTGCAATGTTGGAAATCGCCAGGTATACCCTTGGCTGGCCAAAGTCCTGCTTGAAAGTAAATTACGCTTTCAAAGAGTCGTCATTTCGGGCTGTCACATGTACCTCAGCTCCCAGGGCTGAGTACTTGTGCAGCTTCCCTGGGAATCTATAAAAGCCCTTTTGGCAGTTTGGCAGCTGGGTGTACATGTGGCTGTGATTTTTGCTTCCCGGGGGCTCAAAAGTGGTTTATCCTGAGCACTTCCTTGCTCCTAGAAAAGTTGAGGATTAAATGCATCGTACTGAAAACAAAACCAGAATTAAGTAACTGGTGTTTGGCGAGGCGGTGTTTGCTGTAGCTCCTGTATATAAATTGCCTGCAGGACACGATGCAGTCACGGCAGCAGAGTTTTGTAACATCGTGTTTTTCATCTTGGTTTACATTCTTGGGCTGAGGAGTGCACGATATGGAGAGGTGATTTCTCCTTGAAAGAGCCTGAGAAATTCACAGGAAAACTTGAAGCAATTACAAAGTGTGGTAATAATCATGTGCTTCTCTTGTGGGTTCCATGGGTCAGAGGGCAGGTTGGTGCAGGGCTCTTCCCTGTTCTTGTTTTCTTGCCAGGAAACATACGGACAGTGTGATAACTCCTCTCAGGCTTAGGGAATTCTGTATGTTATCAGTGAGCAGGGCGGGCTGTGTAAAATTAGAAACCCACTTCCAATTCACTTCCCGCTCACCCAGGGATGCGCAGACAGACTGAGCTCTGGGGGAGCGGAGGCACACACTGAATTGCCATGGAAATCTGTTTCTCTTTCGTCCCAGATGAAGTGTGTGTGGTACCCATGGGTGTGAGCCCATTTTCTGGGATGGTGGCAGAGCACTGAAGTCCCTCTGGTCAGAGGGCGTGCATCCTCACAGCAATGTGCCCAGCTCTGCAGCTGCTGGGTGTGATGGCACTGGCTGAGCCAGCTCCAGCTGGAGGTTTCTCTGCTCCCCATCCGATAAGTGAGTTAAAAGCAGCAGGAGAGCCGCCCACACTCACTCTGTTATCGATGCCAGATGTCGAGTGAAGCTTTCTATTAAGCTCATTCTCTTCATCCTGGATCCTACTCGTTCCCAGAGTGCTGGCAGTGTTTAGCTTAGCGTTCTGGGAATGGGATGGTTGTGAAATCCCCCTAGACAGCTGTACGCTTGGGCATGCATGTTTGGTGGCCAGAACAGAGCAGCTGTTTGCACCCGTTCCTCCAGCAGCATCTTCTGGGTCGCTGTCAGCTCAGCCAGGCAGGATGAAGCTGTGAGCTGCCAATATGGTCAGTTGATAGCCTCTGGACTTTCCCTTCTCAGTCTGCTCCAAGGTGAAGACTCAGGGAGTGCAGCATCAGCACAGAGGAAGCACACGTGCTTTCAGAGGTCTGTGGCATGCTTTGTGAGCACTGGGTCTGCACAGCTGGAGCAGTGGGTGGCTGCAGAGATTTTTGGGTGCAGGAAATGCTTGGCCACTTTTTGCTAAGAGATGGACGTTCTGGAGAGCTAAAAGCTTAACTTCTATTCCCTTTCTTGTGTACTCCACTCTGATTTGTTTCCAGCACTGGAGGCACTCTCCTGGATCAGGTTTATGTTTCTCACCTCTTCTGATTAATTCAGTTGCCTGTGTTTCCTCAGTGGAGAACTCCTACTTCTCCGTTTGTATTAGCTTTGCTTTCTTAGAATCGCATTGGTTTGGAGAGCTTTGATATTCCAAGATAGGGGGTGCACCAGCAAGATCAACTTCCTGAAGAAATACTGTATGCAAACTGTTCACCCAAATACCCAGGGAAGCAGAGAAGCTGTGAGGGCACAAAGTTCTTGAAATGACCAAGGGATCTCGTTGTTTGCATTCTCCTTGGGGAACAGGTGGGGATTTTAAGTGTTCACCATCAGAGATTCATGTTTTTAGGTCCCTGTTCTGTTCCACACAAGTGGGGTGCTGAACAAACAATCATATTGCCAACAGCGTTCAGCAAGGTGTGCGGGCCACAGGCTGGCAATAAATAGGTCACTGCTGTCACTGAGCTGGCACAGATCTCCTTCAGGCCTGTCCCACATCTGCATTTTGATGTGCTGATGCAGAGCAGAGCCACGACCTGTTGTGGCATTGTGTTTCCAGCCCCTAGCTGTGTGCTCTACTCCCAGTCCCACCGTCCCCTCCTCCCTTGGTGCTGTGTTACACCTCTGCATGGCCGAGCAAGCTGCAGCTCCTTGCTGCCTTGCAGGTGTTTTCCTGTGCTCAGGGTGTTCATGTTGTAGAGTCTTCGTTGGCAGCAGAACCGGCAGTGAGGCAGGGAGCTCCAACGCTTCCTTTGGCTGGCTCTTAAAAAAGCTGATTTTCTTGCCTGGCACAAAACAGTGATTGTATCTATTGTTTCCCTGAAACTTTTTGTTCTGTAGTTATTTTCATCTATTATCACAGGCAAGGGAAGTCTTGTGGCAGGATCACTGCTTGGTGAAAAGCCTCTGCGAGTCCCTTTGCATTTGCACAGGATAAGAGTATGTGATTTAAAGCTGGGATGTGCCTTGTCTTCGTGTGCTTCTTGGGGGAGTCTGACCTGCTGCTTCCTGTTTGTTCTCTCCTTATCCAACATAGCAGCCCCCGATGTGGAAAACGGGGGAGGTGTCCTGGGCTGTGTGTGAGATCTGTAGTGCTGCCTTTATAATGTGATGCTCAGCTTTCTATATGAAGTGGACAAAGCACCTGGCTTGGTCCTTGCTGTTACAAGTAGTGGAAAAAGTTCCCCTGCTGCACGGCAGATCATGTGTTTGCCTCATGAATAGATTGCTGTGAGCTGGCTCTGCCCTGGCTTTAGCACTGCTACCCACACTCTTCTGGAGGTGAGGCCAGCAGGGGTGAAGCAGCATCAGTTACAGAAGGCCTGCATACAAACGTGCAAAGCTGGTGGTGTAGCACTTGTTTGTTAGTGAGAGTTTCCTTGCTGATAAAAGCCTTGCACTCAGCTTTGTACCAACAAGTACCTTGCATTGTAAAGCAAAACTGAATTATTGGAAAGGAGCTGACCTTATGCATTGCCTGGGCAGGAGGAAGCAATGTTGGAAGCAGGGCTGCCTTCCAGAAGTCAGTACGTAGCCCCAGGTTAGCAGTCTTGGTAAGTTTAAAACCAGCTGATGGTGAATGTTTCCTAAGGAAGGGACACACTCTGCTGAGAGAGAGAAAGCACGCTGTGTGGGCTCTGCTTCCAAGGCACAGGCTGCCTCATGCTCTCTGGTCTGTCCTTCCAGTTCCCTGTTTTCAAGGTGTGACACCTGCATGGGACCAGAGAGCACGTGTTGGGGGACAGCAAGTGGTGGAGACAGGAAAAGGGAGGTGATGTTCAGAGCCAGTGAAAGGGCAGGAGGATTGCTGACTTTGGCTTGTAACTGCAGATAGTAATTGTCTCTTCCTTTTTGGTTATTGGCTGTGATTACAAATCAAAGGTGACAGCCCCAGGGAGAGGAGAACTAGATTTTTACAAGCAACTTTGGTGTAACCAATTGCAGAACTGTGTTGTGGGCAAAGGTATTTCTCATGCAGATGCTTGATACTGGAGGAGGAAAGAGGATTAGAAGCCAGAACTTGTGTACTGGTGGAACCAGCAGCATCTGAGGTCAGAGGACATGAATGCATTGAAGGAGGGTGAGATGCATGCGGCATTGGAGGTACCCAGCCCTTCTCCAGTGTGTGAGATCTACCTGTGGGATGACAAACTGGAGGCAGTTTGGATGTGTCTGCTTGGAAAGTATTTCTAGGGAAAGAGTGTTGCAAGTCTGGCTGGAAGCCATAGGTTTGTCTTCTCTCTTGGGGTGAGAAAGAAGCAAGGCTTTCTGCGGGGGATAAAAGAAAAAAGAAAGACAAAACAAATCAAAAGCATGAGTTAGAATTTGCTACTGGCTGTTTCAGCAGCCCCCCTGAATCTGCAGGGCATCGGCATGACCTGTCTGCAGGAGGCTGTGGAAGTCAGCCCTGCGAGGGTAGCTGTGCCAGCAATGTGCTGTGCTGCCCGTGGGCAGACGGCTGTGCCTGCTGGGGCTCCTGCCCACCCCTGCCCCAGGAGGTGCAGCAGATCTGTGGCCCTCTGCAGGCTCAGGTGGGGATCTGCCACATTGCTCCCTCTGCTGCGTCTCTGGAAAAGAAGAGTGGGAGAAGGTGCTCTGTCCCCCACATGAGTGGGGCTCAGAGAGGTTTGAGAAGCTGGAAGTGAAGCAGCTTGCTCTATGTCACCAGCCTGAGATTTTTCTTTCTGTGTTTCAGAAACTTCGATTCCCTCAGTAAAGAAAATGTGTATGAGAACAACAAGTTGGTAAGTGGCCTTTCATGCTTTACTTTTGGTAGAATGGTTGACATTCTCATACCCTAACTTGACCAGAAAATAGCAAAGGAAGGGGAGGTAGTTTGATAACTGAGGATTTGGGGAAATGGTGTTGAAAGAATTACAGCTGGCCTGGGCAGTGAGCTTGGTTTCTGCCATCCCTCTGCCTGGCTGGAGTTGGCTGCAGATGGTGGAGATCAGAACATAGATGTGGACTTGTGTACACAATGAGGGATAGAGCAGGAGATGGTGCAAGAAAGGAGGAAGGTAAGGGGTTCCCCCACTTGCTTCTAAAGCAGGAAATTGCTTCTGCAAAGTGTAGAAGTCCTTCCTTCTAGTCTTCCCACATCACTCCAGGATGGGTTTTCAGTTTCTCATGCTCTCTTCAGAAAGAAAGCTGGACAGACCAACCCACTCCTACACTGAATTTGAACACAGGCTTTGTGCTCCACAAAAGGATTCTCTCTCTCTCTCTCTCTCTCTCAAGGATAGAAACAGCAGATTAAAACACTTCTCTTCCCTTGGCATTGCTCCACGCAGCTTGGTGGCTGCTTGGCCAGAGCTCGGGCAGTGAAGGAACTGCCTGCAGCTTCCTCCTGTCTGGACTGGAGCAATGATATCTTCTGACACAGTGAGCTGTCTTTGATTCCAGGAGAGCTAAAAGCAGTGATGCTGTGTGCATTGTGCTCCTCCATGCACTCCTTTGCTTCAGCTTCCTTTCAGCCCTGGTCAGGTTCAGGAGTTGTGTTCAGACTCCAGGGTTCAGTCCTGCACATTTTTCTCCTCCAGATGAGGTTCAGACTGCTTTTGCCGTTGTTGTTTTGGTATCTGGGAGGCATGAGGGTCTCTTTGTCCTGGACTGAGTGCTGTGAGCCCTGAGTGCTGCTCCTTCCCCACGCCTGTCTGATGGTGTCTGTTCTGCTGCTGACTTTGTTTTTCTCTGGGAAATGAGCTGTACAACCGACCTCCACTGCTTTTCCTAATGAAAAGCTCCTTTGTGCCTCTCATAAAAAACAGTTGCTGAACTCTTAAGTCAGACTATGTTTCTTTCCCTTTTTTTTCCTTTATTCCTTGCTTTGTGCCCTTTATTTTGCTTTCTCTCCCTTATTCTGCTGGAGGATGACTTGTTTGTGTTACCCTTTCACTGCTGGACTCCTGCTGGCCTGGCACCTGAGTGAGATTTCCCCTCCATTTCCCCACAGCACTGGGTTCTTGGGCTGGTCTCCTTGGGATGTGAGCAGTCTGATTTCTCCCAGCATGTTTCCTCAGCTGTTGTTCAGACCTTCCTTCACACCACACACTGCTCACTGTTCAGTATATTTTTTTCAAGGGCCCTATTACTCAACAAAAAAATATCTTGTCCAGGCTGCAACTTGTCCTATGAGGTCATTTTGCCAAGAAAGAATGTGTCACTTCTCAAGTGCCAAAAAAAAAAAAAAAAAGAGAAATTACTGTTGGGGGCTTTTTTCTCATGCATAAATGTGAGAAGGGTTTCTTGAGACTTGGCATCCAGTTTCTTCAGTGCTAACGGATGATGGCATGGTACATAGTGCATACAGCAGTGGAAAGATGCTCAGATGGCCTCAAGTATTACTTTGCCTCCTCTGTGGCCTCTGTGAAATGGGAGCAGTGGTGCTTGCCTCCTCTGTGTGACCTTGGAGCTCCTCAAGTGCATCTTTAGAGGCCAGCCTGGTACAAGAGGTAGAGCAAAGCAGCTGGGCTGTGCTGGGTGGCAGGGATGTTGGATGTCCAGGCAAGAGCAGTTCCAAAGAACAGGAAAACCCCACCGGTCAGAGCTGTTGGGCAGGCAAGGTGATAGGAAGAGTTCCATGGAATATATTGAGTACCAGGTTACAAGACAAGCAAGTGCCAGGCTGGGCTGGCAGCTGGGGTGACACAGCCGGAGGTGACTGGCTGAAAGCGTGCTTAGTGTCAGCCTGGTTACATTTTTACTGGGATACCCAACGGAAACAAATGGTAATTATCTTGCTAAATAGTAGTGGCTGTTTGTTTCTTCTGAGCGGGGGTTGTTGGCGTGTGCACCAACTCTGCTGTGTGTCTGTGCCAGAGGTCAGATGTGGAGGGGTTTATTATGTTCAAGTCTTGCTTTAACTGTTTCACTGTGGGTTTCAGCAGTCGCCTTCTTTGTGCCTCTGCTCCTGAAGGTGCTGTTTCCCTTTGCTCTGTTGACATTTTGAAAGGAGTGCTCTGAAGGGGGAGGGAAAGGATTTTCTCTCCTAAGTCAGGAAGGAAGAGGGCTAGAGAAGGTCTCTAACAAAAGCCCTATGGTGAATTAGGCAAAGGCCTATTGCTTTAGGGATGCTGCTTTGTTTGTGTGTGTGTGTCCTCTAGAAAAGGCTCTCCTTCAGTGGAAAAACAAAGTAGCCTTTCTGTCCTTTGTCTGACTTTGAACCTGCGGTTTCAGACCACAAAGAGTGTTTGCCCCCAGTACGTGGAAATGGGTAAGCTGGGAGAGAGCTAGGTATCAGGAATTCTTCTTTATGCTTCTCTTCTCACTCTCTAGTCTGGGAGAGATGGTTTCCTTCCCAAAACCAGATTTCCCTATTTTCAAATGGGGGAAAAACATGTGCTAGCAGGAAGCCTTAACATTTGCGCAGCACTCTGAGATAGAAAGCTGCCTGCAAACACCTACCAGCTCACCGTTAATTGGAGAGCACCCCAGGTTGGGCTGGAAGCCTGGCTGCATGCCTGCCAGCCTGGACTGACAAAGCCCCTTCTGCCAGGCCTCACTCACCGCAGCTGTGCACATCCAGACAGAAGCAGGCTGGAGGAAGAGCAGGGGAAGCCCAGGTGAGTTCCTGTGCGATGAGCTACGGCCAGCTTGCCAGGCCAGATTTTTGGCTCCCTGCCTGAATTTCTCAACGCGGTGGCTGGAAGCCACGACTCTGTTGGTTCCTGTAATGGCCGTACAATGTAGGAGTTAAACTGGTGCAGCTGTTCCCCAGTAGAGTTATTATTTGAAGGAGGCTGTCTGCCGTGCAGTTTCTCTTGATGCAGAGCAGCTCTGCTGCCCGGGCTGGACAAGAACCCCCACCTCTTTGTTTTCTTCCTTCCCTAGGCATTTCGAGTGGCGTCAGAGCAGCTGGGGATCCCAGCCCTGCTGGATGCAGAGGATATGGTTGCTCTGAAGGTACCAGACAGGCTGAGCATCATTACCTACGTTTCCCAGTATTATAACTACTTCCATGGACGTTCTCCTAGTAAGTACCACATACATGTAGAGGTGGGCAGGACTGGAGATGAATTTTGTGCTTTTCCTTGCCTCCTAATAAACTTAGAAAGGCAAAACAGACTGCTCAGAAGTATTTTGGTACCAGAACTGTTTCAGTGGGGGGGATCTGACCTCTTTACTCGTTGGAGTAGCACAGTGCTTTTGGAAGGGCATAGAGCTGTGCTTCATCTTCAAAACTTGTGCATTAAAATTTAAATTAATTTTAATTAATTAAATTTTTTAATTAAATTAAATTAATTAAAATTTTTTATGGTACAGCCAGACAGGACCACAGAAAGTTCAACTCCATGATCTACACCACAACTTTCCTTTCTTGAGCAGCTCCATCACTGCCCTAGTCCTTGCCTCACTGGAAAGAGCATGGAGCCTAACAATGCTGAGCCTGCCTGTGAGTCTCTGCCAACAAAACAGCATCCACAGTGGAGACTGTACTGGTATAAGAGGCAGAAAAAAACGATTCCCTCAACTGGCATAATTGCAGTAGCAGTACTTTCAAGCATAAAACAGGCCACAGAGCTGCCAATTGTATCCATGTACTGGAGAGTTTATCTGGGCTCACAGGAGTGCTATTGTAGGCTTGGTTTATATTTGGCTTTAAGCGTGAGCTTAATATAAGAACATGAATGACTTAACTGGTTAAGGTGAATCTAGATGGAGGAGCAAAATACTGAAAACATCCTACATCTTAGAAAGAAAGCATCATTCTCTCTTGAGAGCTGTCTTTTGTATGTAAGCTCTTCTCCCTTCTCATGTTTTCATACAATTAAGCAGGCCTTCTCTTTCCTACCACAACCTCTTCCCTTCCCCCCTTCATTTTTTTATTTCATGTTTTGAAATCATACTGAAACAAATTCCATCATGTTTGTGCCAAGTTGTGGGAATCTGGGTCAGTTTGGGGTCTTTACTCCCTCCCTCCCAGCATCTTGCCTACCACGTCGTCAAGCACAGCACATTTTTATACTCTCTAGTGTCTAACAAAATGCTCTGGTTGCATTCCTGTTGCTGGGATGAATGTGTGTGTCTGAAAATGAGCCCAGCCAGGAATGTGCCCTCTGACACTAAGTGGGCTCCTAATACTATAGCTTTGCCCTCTGGATGAGTGCAGGCAGGACCATGAAATAAGCAAGATGCAGGCCAGAAAGGGTGAGCAGCCAATACTTTATTGAGGTCAGACATTTATTACAGAAGAGTTGAGCTGAAGCTACCCATCTTTGTGCCAGGCTTTGGGAGCTCAATATGTGTGGAACAAGCAGGCAATGAGAGCACAAACTGGGGCTAACATGTTTAATGGTTCTGGTGTCACCAGTCTGATTTGGCTCTATGTTAGAAGAGCCCTGGGTTTTGATTTGGATAGGTGAGAGAAGTCTGCTGGGAACTGGGCTTCCTGTCTGCTCCCTACAGCCTGCACAGACTCCTCTTGTATTCACTGGGAAGGGTATAAGCTCTTTTCAGATAGGTGGTCATTTAGTTGGCTGCTCTTAAAGCAGAGCTATGGCTCAGATAACTGCTGAGTTCCCTCATGGAATGCAGTGACATTCAGAATAGGAAGTGGCACAAAAATCGCATCTCAGCGAGACAGATGAGGAGTCTTGTCTGTCAGAGCTGTGCATGAAACCTTATTTGCCTGGGAAGTCTACCTGCATTTCCCAAAGCATAGGGAATACTGGGCTGATGGCTGAAGTGTAATGGTGATTCTCTTTTCTCAGCTTATTGTGAGTTTAGAGAGATTGTCTTTAATCCGCAGTGAAGAAAGAATTGGGCATTTGCAGGCTTTTTGTGGCAAGTCATGTTGGTTTCTGCATCAGCATGGCCATGACACATTCAAGTGTCTGTTGTTGCAGAATTAGCCATATTTAGAGGTCACTTCTTGGTTTGACAAGTCTGTTCAGTGAGTGCCCCAGCTGGGAGGTGGGCTGGACACCCACAGCAGTGAGGGGTGAGGATGTGTGGGAAGTCTGGAGTGCAGCAACTTGAATGAAATAAACCCTTTGTACTTTGCTGCTTTAGGTGCGATGTGTAAAAGCAGGGCCTGCTTTGGTGAAGATTAAATGCAACCAAACTGTGAGCCTGTTGGGAACAAACAGGTCTTGTTCACACTGTCAAAGGACAGCGTTTTGTATTTTCTATGGAATTTCTCTCAGAAGGAAAAAAAAATGTAGCAGTTTAATCTGTCAAGTTATTCCTGCATATGTTGATATTTTTGCCTCTTGTCTCTTGTTCCACTGCAGAACTGCTTATGAAGAAAGCCTCTGTCTCCTTGTATGGCATTTGCAGGTTATCCATCAGGCACTTCTGGCTCTTCAATTGTAGATAACTCCTAAGTTCATAGGTTTTCTTTACGTTCCTTTTAAATCTTCCCTCTTTCTTTTCTTCCAGTTGGAGGCATGGCTGGAATCAAGCGTTCTTCCTCTGAACTTCAGGAGCAGCCTGCTGGGAAGAAAGCTGTTCCAGGGCCTCCTAAGCCAGTGTCTCCAAAACTGCCTCCTGCACACCCACCAGCCAAAGCTAAGCCAAAAGAAGCCTCCCCAGTCACCACAGTAAGATTTTGAGTTATTCTTTCTGTCTTTAATCTGTTTGATGAACTTGGGAGCATTATGCTATTTCAAAGCAGCCAGTTGTCAGTCTCTAAACTTTCTGCTCATCATGGAGGATTTAATCCAGAGGTCTGGATATTGCACATATTCAGTTGGAAGTCATTGGGAAAGCGAGCTGTGAATCATCTAGTGGTGAATAAGAAATGGGTATCTTAGGACATGGCTATGTTGTTTCTAGCCAGTAGACCATGGGGATGGGGATTTCTAACAGAAGTTGTGGAGTTGTTTTTTTTTCATTTTTGTTTTTTTTTTTCCTGATTAATTTCTTAGAAATAGTTTCTAAAAGCAAAATAGGGATGAAATCAGAGTAGAAGAAAGGAAGCTTCTCTCTTACTAAAGGCATTTTCCAGCCATTTAAATTCAGAGACCTTTGAACTTCAGTTTCCTGCGTGCAAACTGACACCATGGTTCCACACTGCATAAAACAGGGGTTAGCCAGAGCAAGGATTTTGCTTGTATCCTTTCTCTGTCCCAGCAACTGGCTGTGGTCAAACACCTGATTATCTGGGAGATTCTTGGTTGTGTGTGAGTGCTGCCTGCTCACGACTGCTTCTTCCTTCAGAAGGGTGTCCTGACAGAGAGTGGGAACATCCGTAGCAGCTGCTGTGGGATCTGTGGGAGCCACGTCCACCTGGTACAGCGCCACTTGGTTGATGGGAAGCTCTATCACAGGAATTGCTTCAGGTATGGCTCCTCAAAGTGGGGGCGCAGGCCTGTGGGTTTCTGTGGGGCAGTCCTGTTCCTCTGGGGCTTCAGGGAGAGATGTAAGGCATTCAGAGTGCTGGAAAACATTTCCGTCAGAGTGGAGGTTGCCCGGGCCTTCTCTTGACCTGTGCATAAGGGAACTCTTTGCACAGTTTGTTTTTCAGCCACACCTTTCCTGCTTCAGGCCGTTTGTAATTGGCAGCTCCTGTTTTGGTGCCTTACAAACATGCATACAGGAGCCTGCTCACTGCCAGTGTGGTGACTTTGCCCCCTCTGTGCTAGCAATGAAATTGTGCCTGCACTCTCAGCTGTATCAATGACCTTCTCATCCTCTGAAGGATGTGTTCTGAGACTTTCTTACCCACAGGTGCAGGGAGTGTTGGAATGTGCTTCTTCCTGGAAGCTACAAAGCTGGGCCTGAGCCTGGTACATTCATCTGTACCAGCCACCAGCAGCCAGACAATGTCCAGATCTCTGGGCTCAGCAGCACGCGGAACAAACCTGAGAGCACCCCAGCCCCTACTAGTGCCAGAGCATTGCAGAAAGCAGCAGAACCCAAGAAACAGGAGCAGGTGTTGAAGAAGCCGAGCCAGGAAGGCCTTGCTAATTCAACCAAGCCATCTGTTTCATCTTCTGGAAGCTCTGGCTTCCGAAGTCTAAATACTCCATGGTCGTCTTCAGCTGTAAATAAATCAGAAGACTGCAAAGGTACTCCATTGGGAAATAAAACATATCATCATGAAGGTACCACATCAGGACCTCTTTGGACAACCTCCAAAACAAAAACACAGCAGGCCCGTGAAAATTTTTTTCAGTCATTAGAGTCCTCCAGCAACAAAACCTCTGATGCTAAAAGCCACGACCCTTCTCATAGCTCTGGTAAAATTTCCTCTGGCAGAACTGCTGCTGGGGTCACTCCAGCAAAGATTGAGAAGGCTCAGGCACGTAACCATATTATACAAGCTTTGGCTGGATCAAACATCTCTCCAAGCAGGCCAGGAGGACGCAGTTCTACTGGCTCTTCAGCATCTAGTAGGTAGGTACTGTTTCCCTTTCCTTCTTTATTCCCAAGATGACCTTGGGATAACTTGGGAAAGTCTCTGCATGTTTCTTCCCTTTCTCTGACAGCTTTTTTGGATAGGATTTAAAGACAAATAAAATGACTCATCCGAGTCTTTGGAAACAGCATTCTGTAACAAAGGCCTACCCTCTCAAATAGAACAGACTTTCAAAACTCATTAGATCATTCTTTTTTTTTTTGCAGTAGCAACTTTTCTCCTTCCAGTTCCCAGTCACAGAGTCCAGCTCTGAAAGCACAGACCAGCAAAACAGGCTACACAGCACCAAAACAGGAAAAGATCGCAGAACCTCTGCCCAAGAGTCAGACTACCAGCAAACCTGTTGAATCTGTGCACAAGCCAGAGTCAAAAGGCCTCAAAGGTGAGAATGACTGATTTGCATACAGCTCTGCCTGGACACAATAAGCCAAATTTGTGCCCTTCTCTTGGGCGGTTGCAATGAATCCGTCCGTGGCTCCTCGACTTCCTTGCTGTGTTACCACAGAAGGGTTTACTGTCTTCTGGGGACTGACGCACTTCCATTTGTCCCTGTGCAATTGCTCCCTCTAGCATGGCGATTCTTTCTCCTCTGATGACCTCCAGGCATTTGAATTTGTATTAGCTGTCATCACGTGTTGAGATCGTGGTCATTTCTGAGGCTTACGCAGACTTTCCAGATTGAAGACTATGCCTCAACTTCAGGATGATTTTGTGGCTACAGCATGGGCTTTCCAAGCCTCCTTGTCTGTTTTAAGCTGATCTTCCACTGTGGTGGCTGAGCAGTAGGCCAAGGGATGTTGTTTTGGGAGCGTTTAGATTCTCTGCCACTTCCTTATGGCCTGTTTTTTTAGGGGGGGCAGTGCTGAGTGCAATATCTGTATGGAGTTTGATGTGACTCTGTGTGGTCGTTTGTTGTTTTTTGTCTTCCCTCTCCTCCATCTTTTGCTCTCTAAGATCTGAGCTGATTTTGTTGTATTGCTTTCAAAAATGTCTTCATTTTCTCTGCTACTGTGTTTCTGTAGCTGCATAGATTTTAGAGAATTTGAGTTGAAAGATGCAAAATGGCACCAAGGTTATTTACAACCAATTGTATATGAATCTGTCTATGTTAAACTTACTGAACTGGTGCTAGTTTGCTGCAGAGACATTGTAGCATCTACCTGTGTGCATAGCTTATCTCTTCCTTCTGAGATGCGGATCTGGCTTGTATCTTTCTATTGAATCTGATATTATCTTGCCATGTATCTTCACTTAGGAACTGTGAATGCTGGTGAAGACAAGTCTGAGAGCCCAGCAGACTGGAGATCTCGGTTGAAGCCTGTGGCCAACAAGTGAGCATCTTCAAGTTTGTGGGTCTCTGTGAGAATTGTAGGGGAATGTCCATGTCTGCAGGCTGTGTTTGATGCTAAAGTCTGTGTGCATGTAGGAGGGATAAATTCTTGTGTTTAAATGCTTCTATTTTCAACTATTTGAATGAAAAGTCAAAGACGCTCATTTCTGGGAAGGGAGAGCATGTTTCAAGTTAGCTGGACTCTGTGACCATCCCAGGGTGTCCAGAGATCTCATTATGGACCAGTCTGCTAGAGGCATGGTTTCCTACTTTTGTCTTTCTTCTTTGCAGAGACCAGGCTGGCTCTAAGAAGCCTACTGATCACTCACAGGTGGGAACAGGGAGCCCAACACAGAAGGAGAAAAAGCCAACTCCATTAGTTGTTCCATCAGCAAAGCAGGAGTCCGGTACGAAGGATATAAGCTTTGCTTTCATTTTGCTGGTCAGGCAGGGGACAAGCATTAGCAATGCAATGCACAGAGGGGGTGAGGAATATGGTGGTCAAGACAGTGCCTTGGTTTCTGGGATTTTTGCTCTCTACACCTGCTTTGGCTCTGCTTTTATTTGGAGAGCTGTCCTCCCGCAAGGAGAAGGGCTTTGTCTTCACAGTATGCTCCTCTTCTGCAAGACAGCTAGCAAGATTTCACTTATTCTGCCTTGCATAAATATATAATGGTGAGAAGTCTTGTGATACTTCCTCACCTTTCGTTCTTCTCTTCCATCTTTCTTTCATACTGTGGTCTTCTGATTGCTGATTTCTCTCTGTTTTCTTCAGGTTGTACCCTGAGGGGCACACCTCAGGATTATCAAAAGAGGAGGGTTGGGACTAGAAATGATGTCAGCTAGTGGTGAATGCCAGAGACTGTGGGTAATGCAGGGATTTTTGTGAGGTGAGGCTTGAAGTTTCTTGCCCAAGACCTGTCTGTGCTTCTTAATTTAGCTTCCTCTGGTGGAATCCTTAAGAAGAAGTTGATCCCCAGCTCAGATCTTATGAGCTTTCAAGGCTGGAAAGATTATGGGGTTTCTGCCAAGAAGGAGGAAGAGAGCAACCACCAGTTGAAACAAAACACTGTCACATGTAAGATCTCTTCTACCTACTTAAAGCCATTCTCTGCTCTGCACTTCCAGGGGACAACTTCAGTGTGGGAAGCATATCCCAGAGTTTTCTGTGTCCAAGCCTGTAACTGTTGTCACGGGAGGAAATTTGTGTCAGTAGCTTTTTGTTAACCAGGAACCAGCCAGGCCAAGGAATTCAGTGGGAAGGGAAGAAATTAAAATAAGGACTTTTCAGGGTCACTGACTCAAAGCTATGAAGAGTGCCGTCTCCTGATTTGAGGAACTGGGATCTTGTTGATGTCTCTGTTCCTTTCCAAATGACTGGCTTTGGAAAAGGAAAGGAATGCAGAGAACTGTCAGCAAGAGACTCCAGCTGGTGGAACCCACTGTGGAAGCAGCCAGGGCTGCTGCTTCTGGGACATTCAAAGATGCCCCAACCAGTTCTGACCCATTTGTTCTTACTCTTAATCCAGTTCCTTTCTCTTGTTTGTTTTGCCTTAATGCTACTGCGTATCTTTACCCTGTAGTCCTTGCTGCTTTCCCTCTTACACAGTGGGATCCCATGGAGCTAACATTCCATATATTTGCTGCTGGTCTGCGTGCTCAGCTTGTTCATCTCCTTTCCTTACCCTGTCCATCTCTGTCTTACCTATTTGGACTAGAAGGCCCTCAGCTCTGACTGATCTTGGAGCAGGCAGGATGGTTCCATGGGGCTTAGTGGTCTCGTGTTAGTATTTGTTAGCTGATTAGCACTGTCTTTGGCCTTCACATCTGACACCTGGGATGCACTGAAGCTCCAATTGTGTTGTCTGTTTTAGAAGTTCAGCATGTCTCCTCTGCCACAAGGCTCAGCAGTAAATCTTTTCCCAGGAAGTGAGCCACCACACAGCAGTTCAGTACCCAGCATCTTTTCCTTCTTTTTGCAGTCTTCTAGAAAGCCTGTTAGAACAAGGACTGGTCAATCTGTGAGATGTCCTTGAGCTCTTCCACGAGTTTCTCATCAGCAGCAGTCAACTTGGTAGAGAGAGACTCTCAGGAGGCTCCCTGCCCTGTCTGTCCTGTGTTTCTCCTTGTGTGTGTTGCATCTCCACTGCTTTTTTACAGGTTTGCTCTTTTAATACTGCAGTTTTCCTTCCTATCACATCATCTACATATGCCTTTATTCTCTCTCTGTGGTAATTATCCAGCCCAGCCCCTTGGGTATCCAAATACCTCACACTCTCCTGTAGTTATCCTCGCAGCACAGGTGGGCAGAGGAAGCTGAGGCACAGTGGAACAAACACACATTGCTTAAGGATTGATTTTAATAGGTGTCCAGGGCCTAAATAATGCTGTGTAGCTGGGCCATAGGGACTTCTCACCTAGGAAGTGTTTTGTGCAAGGAATTAAACCTTAGTTTCCTGATGCCTTGGGTAAGTTCCCCTAGACCATCTTTGTTTCATTAGTGTTTATTTGATACTTATTTGTACAAGAGCACTGGAGGGCATTTTAAAATAGAACTTGTTGTTTCTAGTGGCAGTAACCCAATACATCTTTTCTGTCCTTTCAAAGCATAAGGGATGTGTTTTGTTTTGCCATTGCCCCAAGGAGGAAAGCAGTGCTGTGGGATCATGGAGTGTGTCCAGCAGCAAGGGGTAAATCAGGCTGTGATGTTTCCTGAGGATACATCTCTCACCTTATTCAGGGTTTGCCAAAGCAAGTATATTGTCTGTGCCCTCTGTTGGGTGGAAGGGACCTGTTGTGCTGTCACATGGTATAGGTACTGTCCCTCAGCACAAAATTATTTAAAGCTTGATGTGGGCTTTCTTACTTTTTCTGTCTTTTTTTTCCTTCTAGTTGAACCCTCTGTTCCAAAAAGCATCCAGAGCATTGAAGCAGTGTCACCAACCAAGGTATGGCTGGAAACCAGGTGTAATGGGCACAGACTGGTGTTGCCAGTTATCCTGGTGATGTGATTGCCAGGATTCAGGTTGTCTTCTTTTGAAGGCTTATTTATATTCCCAGGCAAGACTGTATGATTCTGTGATAGAGATGAGCAGGAGAGATTGCCAGTGATCTCCTGTGCAAGGGGACAGTAGAGGCTGGAACAAGACAGAGCCATAAGTAATAAAATTCTGGTGGACACAGTCTGCTCCAACAAAGAAGGGGGGAGAATGCCTGTGCATTGACAAGTGTGGGTAGTATCATCCAGTGAATGTAGCATACCGCTGTAGTGTTTCAGTGGCCACCACAGTGTTGTGAACAGCCAGCTCTGCATCTCTGCTTACTTGGCCCTTCAGGGCATGGCGCTTCAGCTTTGCTCCTTAAGTTGTTTCCTATTTCTGTTGGGGCTGTGCCTTCAAGAGGCAGTTGGAGGGCACTAAGATGTATTCGTTTCTACTTCCTAGCTGCACCCAGACTACATCCCTGAGGAGGAAATCCAGAAGAAGGTGCAGGACATTGAGAAGCAGCTGGATGTGCTGGAATTGAAAGGAGTGGATCTGGAGAAGCAACTGCGTGGCTGTGAAGGAGGTAAAGGAAATGGGAGGGCCAGCCCTGTTACAGTGGGGAGGTGTGAGGCTCATATCCTATCGCTGGGCATTCTTGGCTCTGCTTCTAGAAGCTCATACTACACATGAGACACCAAGTTACCAAAAGTAGCTGGTAGAGCAAGATAAAGCCTTGGGAATTTTGAACCCATTCAGGGCTGTTTCCTAGTCTATTGTTTGAGCTTGTGTGTATTTGGCTGAAGAACATGGAGTCTGGGGAGTGGAAGACTGCTATTGATCTGGTTTTTGAATACCAGGCCAGACTGACTGTCACGATTGGCTCCAGTTCTGTGTGGTTTCAGAATGGCAAAGCTGAGCCAGCCACATGGAAAATGAACTGAGTGTCCTATGACAGAGTATCTGTGAGCAGCTTCCTTGAATCTACAGGGGGTGGTGTGCTTCCTTTCCTTTGTATCTCAAAGTACCAAAGATAAGTTGTTTTCAGTGGAGGTTGCCTATGGCTCATACAAGTTATTCTGGGCTCTTCTTCAAGCGACTGTGTGTTTGTGCCAGAAGGAACTGAACTGATCCAGCTTTTGGATTTATTTCACTCTGTCACAGATGAGTCCGAGGATGCCCTCATGGTGGATTGGTTCAAGCTGATCCACAAGAAACAGCTGCTGCTAAGGCAGGAGTCAGAGCTGATGTACAAGTAAGCAGAACCAAAAATTCACCTGTCTCTCCACACTCTTCACCTGTGAGCAGTAAGCAGTGAAGGAAAGAAAACGTGACAGGCCACAAAATTATGTGCTATCTGGTGGGATGAAGAGAGCTGCCAGCATCCTGAGGTATTAGCTGATGGGCCTTTGAGCACTGAATGGATAGACAAGCCCTCAGTGTCCGTGATGAGCTTGTGGGAAGGGAAACCTTACAGATGTGATGGAGGCAGATTTCTCCCAGTCCATCAATTCCTACCTGGGTGGTGAGCCATGTAGAGATGAAGCTTTAGCATGACATGAGAAGAATCCAGCTCTGGGTTGTGGAGGGGCACTCATCACTTCTGTGGACTCTTCCAGGATGAAACAGCAGAATCTGGAGGAGCAGCAGTGGAACATTGAGTTGGAGCTGAGACGTCTCGTGGACAAGCCAGGTGAGGATGAGCTGTACTGAGAGTTCTGCTGGTTCCTGGCTGTGCAGAATGCTGCACTCCATGCACCTAGCCCTAGGATCTCCTTCAGATCTGAATGACTCTGCTTGCCAGGTATCAATGCTTCACTCAAACCTTCCTGGCTAAGCTGTTGGTGCAGGCTCCCCGTAACATCCAACCCACTCACATTTTCTGAGGGATGTAGAATTTACCCCTGAGAGTAAGGATAATTGAATTCAGACCTTTGAGAGGGACCTGATGGAGCAGGGAGGAGGCATGGGGGGGAGGTACCGACCTGCAGCTGTGAGACAGACTTCTCTTGTCTTGTGCAGAGTATCTGAAGACACGCAGAGAGAAGGAACGTGAAAAGGAGCTGCTGGATTCATATGTGAACACAGTCAATGATCGGAATAATATTGTGGAGTGCCTGGATGAGGACAGAATCAGGTGAGGGTACGTGGGTGGCAGAGGATCAGCCAACACAAGGAGGCTCTGCACTGTACTTGCTCCACTGTCCAGACTGCAGGGTTGGATCAGTGGCTATTATCTGTACTTCTGCTCCATGAGAGCTGGGTAGCGACCTGTCACCAAGCATCTTGTCTTATATGCTGCTGCTGTTGCTTCCTTGTCAGTGTTTCTTCAGGTCTGCAGTCATATTCGGTGCTCTCAGAAGCAAACAGTGCTCTGAGGACAAGGGCCATGAAAATGTATAAGGCAAGGGAAAGAGAAGGAAAAGCTAGAGATGGGGAGGAAGCCCAGGAGGACTGTGGGAGCATGAAGCTATGCGTGTGTTCGTCTGCTAAAGCAAAAGAACAGCTGTAAGCATTGTGCTTAGTGTTGGATCTTCTCCAAGTTCAAAGGAAGGCTGCCATGTCTAGTTGGATGTGTGTCTCCTGTTGCTGAGAGCAGTTTCCATTTCTTGCCTTCTGGCAGCAGCTCTACCTTGAGGGTTCCAGTAATGCCCTGGCTTTTGGCTCTGGCCTTGCCCAGGCTTTAGGAAGTACCAGAGTGTTTTTGACTGTGATGTGAGCATCTCTGCAGCACCGTGGGCTGCTGGTGTCCCAACCTTTATTCATCTCCTAGGGTGTGGTGTTGCCTCACAACACAGTGAACTCAGATGACTCTCATACCAGCTGAGGGAGGGCCTGGCTGCTGTAGCAATGGACCTCTGTGATCTGGAAATCCCCACACTCTTTATTGCTTTAAAGTGGACCAGAAGTAATTTGCTTATGCCTAGGAATTTAACTGTTTTTTTTCCTGCCCTCAGGGAGTTGGTTGCTTCTGACCGTGGGAATGACAGTAGCTATGATTCTACATGTTTTGCAGTGCCTACCACCTAGTCATGAGACAGAGTAGTTTTTTAATGCCATGCTCTTCCTTTACAGAGAGAAAGAGGAGGACCAGATGCTGGCAGACATGATCCGGAAGTTGGGTAAGGACCCTTTCTGCTGTTAAGAAGCAGCACTGGGTAACACTAGGGCTGTGGGTCTCAACAATCTTTGCATCTGCTCCCTGTCCTGTAGATGGATCTCTCGAGGGCCAGGAGTCAGAGAAGAAGAAGAGCAAATTCAGCTTGTCCAAACTATGGAAGCAGAAAAACAAGAGTTAAACTCAGGAGTGATGTTACTCTGCACGCTGGTGCAGAGAGGACTGTCAAAGGGATGTTCTTTTCTTGCTGCTGCTTTCCTGGATTTGTGCAGGATGGTGACGAGGCTTCTTTCCTCTCTGACGTGGAGACTGTAGGCTTGCAGATCAAAGGGACAGTGTGAGTCCTCTCACTGGTGTGAGGCACACCTTTCCTTCTTTGAATCTAGCCCAGAGCTGGCTTCAGCCTTGGTGGCAGCTCAGCAGGATAGAACTCAGTTTGCCCATCCACTGCTTAGGTCATTACAGTCCTGAATCAGGGAGCACGGCACTGTGTGTCACCCCACAGTGCCCGACTCACATCAGCCAGGGCTATGCCAAGGGTACTGTGCTGGTTTCCAAAATGGCAGTTCTTTCTCCCTCCCTGCATCTCCTTTGGCAGAAAGAGAGATACTATGGGTCACGAGGGATCAATGGTCTCCCCCTTATTTACACCCATGCAAACTGGAGTTTCAGCCCCCGCAGCCAGGGGAAGCAGACACCAGAATTACCTGTGGGTTGGGATGTCCTAGACCCAGAGATGTTTCAGCAGTAGTGCTGTTTCCAGACCTCCTTGTGGGAGTTGCTGTAGGCTGGTTTCTCAGAGCCATGAAGGGCTGCTCGCTGCTTCATTCCCTCTATGGGGGAGATTTTTAACTCGTTTCTCTCACTGCACAGTGAAGCATGGTTTTCATTGCTTTTGGCCCACCATGCTGAAGGCAAACAGAAGTCTTTTAACAGCCTTATGCTAACAGGGAGCAGAAGTGCATAACTGGGTTTGTCTTGCCCACCAGTTTTCTGTGTAGGACAAGCACTCATCTCCTGAGTCTCTGTCCCTGGTTATCCGGTGCCCTCAAGGGTTGCCATGGTTCACCTTAATGGAACCAGGGCAGTAATGAGCAGTGCAAAGTAGGCGCTGGGCTGCTGGCAGTGTGTCTTTCTCCTCCTCACTCAGCCTAGAGTGACTGCAGCCAAACAGCTGCCCTACGTGGCATCGGCCTTTGCACAGTCAACCCTGGGAGCAGGGATAGAGATCGGCAGGGGAAGATGAGAATCATTCGTGATGCCTCTAGCTCTAATGTGCACTCCCCCTTGCTCCCTTCTTCCCTCCGTGCCAGGGTACTCCACGATTTCCCTGCGTCCTGTTCTCCAGCAGGGCCTGGGATTTTTCAGTGAGGGGCTTTGCTGCCTGCTGTGCCCGGTGGCAGAGCAGAGGCGATGCGTCCCTCACCCACGAGGTGGCAGTGGGACTCTCCGTCCGAGGCAGCTTGCCCTGGGCACCGCAGGGGGGATCTCGGTGGGGTGCCCACAGCGCGTGTGTGTGCGGTGGGACGCCCTGTACCTGCCTATGTTTTCGTCCAATAAAGAGCTGCTGGTGCACATCTCGGAGTCCCCGTGTGAGTTTAAAGGTGGGTTACTGGCTGTGCGTTGTCCTGCTTGCCCCACTGACTCACTCTCTGGGGATGAGGGTGTCTGGAGCCACTGGTGGTAGCAGGGGACCTGCCAGAGAGCTGGTCCTGCTTTGCACACCTGTGATGGAATAGCATCCCTCCCTGAGCTCACAGACCAGTTGCAGGTCCTGGGAGAGCAGCAGAGCCATGGGCTTCCTCCATGACATCTTTTACATGCCCAACTCCCCCAGGCTCCCAGATGGATAAGTATATTTATTTTCTCCCTTGCTGCTTTAGGATCACACACATCCCCAAGCCTTGCGGTACCCCAGCACACCCAGACTGGTGGCCTAACTGGCTGAGCTGCAGATCCATCGCTGTCCTTGAGTGCTCCATGCTAGCCTGTGCTCACCCTGAAGAGGATGAGCTGGGCTTGGAGGATGTTCTGACCACAGAGACCGTTGTGCTTTTTGTGAAGCTCTTCCTTTCTTGTGGCTGTCTCAGCCTGGGCTGTTGTTCTTGCTCTGCTTTTGACTTTTCAGGCTCAGATTCTTCAGTCTCAAGAAATGCAAGTTTGAAAGTGGCAAAATCACCATCTCCATCTTCAGTTGAACCTTCACCTATCTTGAAGGCAGGCAGGAACTGGAGCTACACAGGAATGTGATCACTGGGTGTTCAAGTTACAACCTTATGACTTCCTATAGGGTTTGGTTTTGCGAGATGGCCAACTGCTGCCGGAAAACAGGCACTCACTACTCAGGACCGAGTGGGGAGTTGGGTAACTAGCTGTCTCTCCCCCGCAATGGTCATCCCTGAGTAATTGGGCAATTTGAGCACCTTCCTGCAATCAAACAGGAATCCAATTCCTCTCCTGTCTCCGTGGGAGAGGGCTGTCAGTGCTCCACTCAAACCCCACCAGACGCTGAGCCCTGAGGTCAGGCTGGCTGATGGTTGCTGTACTCATGTGGGTGTCTGCGTTTTGGTAATGACTGAGAGCTCACTTGCTCCTCTAGGTCAGCTGCTCCACTTTCAGGAGGACTGAGCTTTCCTATTCATTCCCTGTTTGGGTTCATGGTGTCGCTGGCTTCTGGATATCCAGGAGCACTGCAGCTGTTTTGTTCATAGCAGAAATGAAGGTGAGTGGGGGCTGCGCTGGGTCTGGGGGCTGCGCTTCTGAGTCTCTGCCATTTCAGGGTGTCTGGGGGGGTCCTTTTGTGGGTTTGGGATGCAGGGGAGGTGGCTGCCTGCTCCAGCACTTCTTGACTTGCAGATGAAGCTGTGACGAGGCTCTCTGTGTGTATGTGTGTGTGTGTGTCTCTCTCTCTTCTGCCGTTTTCTTTAATTACAATCTCAGAGGTAATTTCTGACGCATCATTAACAGTTCTGAGTAAACAAGGGGAATTCTCCAAATTATTCGTGATGAGTACAAAGGGAAATTGGCTTTCATCAGCTCCCTCTCCACCAAGGAAGAAGATGATCTGTAATAGGCTGCCCTTGGATGCCTTGAATCAACTTGAGACGGAGCAGCGAGCACTCCTGTTCATCCAGCTGCCAGAGGGCAGACCTGCTGCTGAGCTAAGTGGCCAGGGCTGGACACAACTGGGGCTGTAAATGTAAAGTGCCTTTTGAATACGGGAGCTTCAGGCAATGCTTTTCAATGTTCGAAGTGACCAAAGCCACCTGCAAATCTGGGTCTCAGCTTGTGCCTGATTTAGTGGCTGGCAATCCTACCCACTGCAGGAGGGTTGGAACAGCTGAGGGTTTGAGGTCCCTTCCAGCCCAACCATATGTGATTCCTGAGAGGTGTCACCCTCGTCTTTGCCCTCAGGATGAAGGGTGATGCCTGAGGCCAGCACTGTTGGGAAGGGAGGGACGGAGCATTGATGTGAAAGGCCTTGGGTCCTTGAGAACTAGGTTTGGTGCAAAGCACAGACTCAGGGCTGCTGGTGTGCCCTCAGATGAAGCTACAGCACCCATGTAAGCATCCATAGCCCTCAGGTCCCCACACTGCACCGACAGCCCGGTCACTCGTGCTCCAACACAGTGGCAGAGCATCTCCGATAGCAACCAGAGGAGCACAGGTTATTTATATTCATGTGGCAGCTCTGCCAGCCGTGACTCTGTTATCTGCCATGCATGAATATTATTTGAATGCGCAGTAATACGGAGTTTGTCGTGACTATTCTTCTGCGTGAAGCGAGGGATTTGCGGTGGGATGGCAGCCCTCCCTCCAGCTGTCAGTCAGGAGGGGTTTCCTTTTCCTGTCTCGTTGAAGCCGCGTCCCCAGCAAGGTGAGACAGTGGACACTTTTTCTCTTGTTAATATCCATGTCTAATCTCCTCTCAGAGGGGCCCTTTGTCCTATACTGTAGCCAAGATGAGTAATTCAGGGATAGATGAGACGCTATAATTGGTTTGTGACAAATTAAAACATTTTTCCTTCGGAGCCGTGCGCAGGACTGTGGTCTGGAGCTGTCACACATCACAGGGGAGGGCGATTTTTGGAGTAAGCACATTGCAAATTGGCTCCAGTTACGCCTTGGAGTCAGAAATTGAACTCCAGCTGGTGGCCCTGCTCTGGTGGGGTTTTGTTCTGAGGGGACAGAGGGAACTTGTGCGTCTCATGGTGAGCTGGTGGCGGGATGCTGGGGAGCCCAGGGATGTGAGATGAAGGTGGGCAGACAGAACTGGAGCCCACCAGGGCCTGTCTTACCTCCACGCTGCTCACAGGGGTTCCTCTGTCCTATCCATGGAAGGATCGAGCTGCAGCTCACCCCATCTCTTCCCCACAGTTGCAAGTGGTAGAGTGCTGCAGCGATGTTACCTCATCGTGGTGGAGATGGATGGGGAATGGAGTGTGAGCAGCAGGCCTGGGAGGAACATTTCTCTATAGAGAGGGTTGAGGAGGAGCAAGAGGAAGTCCCCATGTGGGCTGGTCTGTGTGTGAAGGGCAGTGGGGAAGGAAGCTGAGCTGGGAAGGGCAGGCAGAGCCCAAGGACGGGGTGTCAGGGGCTGTTGGAGTCGTGGTGGGATGGAGACCACAGGCAGACTCAATATGGGAGTGGATCAGAAGAATGGAAACACAACCTTAAGTTGTTTGCCTCAGTGTTTTGTATCTGATAGTGAAGGAAAATGAAACATAAGGAAAGAAGCTGTGTTTTCCAGTGGGGCTGCATCTTGAAGAAGAGCGCTTGGAGGAGAAGCCCGTAGGTATCAAAGCCAGGAAAGCACAAAGACTTTCAGGTGGCAAAAGAGACCCCAGAGGAGCCAGGTGAGAAAATGAGGATATTTGGACATCTATGAGATGAGAGGAGCACAGTGGGGTGGGAGGCTGCTGGTGGTGAGGAGCTGGAGGCATTGCAAGGAGGGATCACAGGATCTCCTTCAGCAGAAGAAAGTGCAGAGATGCAGCAAATCCTGAAAGGCAGGATCAGATGGTGAGCTGTGACTGGTGTCACTGGCATTAAGGCGTTCGCTAATCCGGTTTAAGGGGATAAGCCCAAGAAAAACTGTGGAGACCTAAATTGGAGCTTGTCACTCTTCCATGGAGAGCAGGGATGCGGAGGAAGAGGATTTGCTGAACGAGGCCTGGATGGTTGGGTGGGATGGAGGAGCTCAGAGAAGAGGAAGGATCGGGAGGAATCAGGTGTGAAGGAACAGCAGGAGTTTTGAACTCCAAGTACTAATTGGAAATTGCAAGCTCTGGGAGAAATCGCCGCTCTGGTCTCAGCCCATGGATGACGTCCCTTGGCACAGTGTCCAGGAGCCTTCTGGGCTGTAGAATCACTCTTAATAACTCCCAGGCTGGCCCTGTGTGCTAGGTGGAACTGGTAAGGTAGCAGTGACTCTGTAGAAGCCCAGCAGTGATGGTCTGGGAAGCTTACACGATGCATATCAAAGCTAGTATGGGAATTGCGTAAGTGTGATGTAGGTCTGGCACTAAAATGATAAGAGCCATATCAAGGGAATAACTTAATTAACTGGTCTTGATCAAAGAACTATATGAATTCAATAGCCCAGTTTTCAGTGCTAAATGATGAAGTTTAGAAAAACTGCACTTGACGCAATTATCAATTTTCCTGACCGAGGAGCTTTGAAGTGGCATTAAGAAGGGACAGGCTATTGTTCCACTTAGGACAACTTTCCCCCTCCCTCGAGTGACAGGGAGGCAGAGGGGCTCTCTCCTTTCTCAAGTGCTCATTTGAAATGGTCTGAGGCAAAACAAACAGGGGATACCAAGGGGGAACGGTATCTCAGCTTTACAAGTTAATTGTTTCAGATGGTGTAAATCAGGAACAAAGAGCTGTCCTTTCCCTACCAGCCAGCAGAAATGTCTTAATTTCCCTGTAGCTTTCATTTTGCAGTGGAATTTGGAGGAGAAGTGGTTCTGTTTAACTTTCAATGAGCCTGGACCTTTTGGTTTTGGTCCCTCTGGCATGCCTGCCCAGCTGCAGCAGAGAGCTGCGTGCTGCTCATACGAGATGCGAGAGCAAGGAAGGAGTTAGGCTGTGAAAGCAGGTTTCTGCAAACCTTTAAAATACCATCGTGTGTGTTTGTGTGCATGTGTGCCCAGTTTGGAAGTGTTTGTATCAGCTCAGTGTGTGGCATCCAACCCGTGGCTGTCTGAACGCAGCCATGTTGGCCAGCTGAGTGTTTTCTTCTTGCTGAGTTCCTCAGCTGCTGACTTGCACGGCTGTGGACTCCCATCTCCAACATGGTCAACCAACAGCTGTAAAACACTGCAATGGGCTCTGAAGGGCAAATGTCAAAGCATCTGACTGCAGCTCACTCCAGCTGCAGGAGGTGGATTCCCCCTCTGCAGGACTAACACCCGAATCTGGCTGCAAGGCAGAGGATGTGCAAGCGCTCTGCGTGAGAGCATCACCAGTTCCTTACTGTGAATTCACCCATAACCAGCAAGGTAAGCAATGCTGAAACACGGGATCAGAGAGCAAACTGTGCTACAGGAACGCCAACCCATGCTCCACATGG